TGGAGCAAGCCAAGCTCTGCGTAGGCATCAGTAGGATGCTCAGTGCCCGCCGGGAGCCTCCAAGCCTTATAAATCTGTTCCTCTGTCACCTCCCGGGCACTGGGTAGCATCCAGGGATGGCAATGCTGTGCAGACGATGTCACCTGGTGCGGTGCCGGGTTCCCTGCCTGCCTTTGCAGTGGGGATTTATCCCCCACTGATGGGCATCGCAGGCTCCCTGGCAGCCTGGGCACCTCTGCAGCTGCTCCTGCAGCCCACAGAGGATGGATTTTGGCCACCCCAGTGCACACGATGCCCCAGTACTGCAAGGATGGCTTCGTGGCACCCTGCATCCCACGGGATGTGGGGCAGCCCATGTGCTCGAAATGTCCCTGTGTTGGGGACAAGGTTTTCCAGTGCCCGCCTGAAGCCAGCCCTGCGTTGCTGGGCACAGCTTGGGCAGGCAGATGTTCCCTTTCTGCCTGCGTGTTCCCTGCCTGCTTGATGGTTTGCATAAGGCAGGAAATGTCAGCAACAGGCTTTGGCTAACGGTGCTTCGTCCACTGCTCTCATTAAAACCCTCTCCAGAGGACGGCCGGCAATGGGAGCAGGCGGGCAGAAAGCTGCTCTTAGCAACCTGTCTGCACTGCCAGCACCATGCGTAGCCCAAAACAATCAGGATGCCTTGGGACGGGGATACCAGCGCGGTCCCTGGGATGTACAGCCCGGAGAAACCCCCTGCAGCCACGTTTTGCAGGGCAGGGAGCACCCCAAACCCTTTTAATCTCCTCAGGAGCTGGCTCTCAACCTCCCTGGTTTGGGGATGGGGAAATTGCTCTGTGCTTGGGGTCCCCAAAACCTCCACCCGTGTGCCCTCTCCCCTCTCCGGGATGCTTATGGCTAGCTGACGAACGCAGCCAGGACCAACATTAATGAGTAACTGTGCTCGGAGCGGGCTGCTCTGTGCTGGCTGCCGGTGGGACGGGAGCCACAGCCTTTCCATCCTCTTGGCCAGCACCCAGGTCCTGCTGGCTCCTCTGCTGCCGGCCAGAGCCCCCACCCCTGCCTGCATCTGAGTCACCTTGTTTCTGATGAACTGGGGCAATAAGCTGTAAAATGGTGACTTACTTTTTTTTTCTTTTTTTTTAATTTTTTTTTGGCAGCGGCACATGGGAGTGATGACTTGGGTCATCCCCAGGGAGGAAGTGGGGTCAGGGCATCGTAGTGGCTGCCAAGAGCCCGTGGCCACCGTGGCACACGCTGCATGTCCTTCGCACCCTCTGCGTCACTGGAGGTGTCCCCAGGGATGTCCCCATCCCTATGGAGATGTTGGGGCTCTGGTTGCTCCCCGGGGCTGGAGCGGGCTCCCGTGGCCCCGCTCCCAGTGTGTGCAACAGGGCTGGGGGTGCCTGGAGCGATTTCGGGGAAAGGGTGGGTTTTGTTTGTTCTTAACCTTCCTATTTGGAAGAAGAAAGCCGCTTTCAGCTGCCAGCGGGATGAAGTGGCCGGACACAGTCAGGGATGTGTTTCCTCAGGCCAGGAGCAAAGCTGGGGTCACCATGTGCCTGCAGCCATGGTCAAAACCGCCCACCACAGCTGCTGGCTTCTGGGGGTGCTTTTGTACCCCCACAACTGCCCCCAGCACCCCACAGCCCTGGGGGTGCCTACAAGGGGCACCTGCCAGGTCCCCCCTCTGTGGGGGTGGTTGCCAGGGCTGAAGGGTTTGGTTGCCCATGACCATGAGAGCCCAGCGGGGTTGGGGCAGGGGGCTGGTGGGGCGGCCCCCGGTGCTGATGGCACCGTTTCTTGTCCTTCCAGCACGGGGAGCAGCGACCCGTATTGCATCGTGAAGGTCGATGATGAGGCCATCATCAGGTGAGCGGCTCCATGTCCCTGGCTGGCCCCCAAACATGCTGGCACACCCGGCTCCTGGCGTGTTCCCCATCTACCCTGCTGCAGGCACAATATTGTTATTATTGTTATTGTTATTTTATTCCGTGCTTGGGCTGAGCTGCTCTTCCAGATGCAGGCTGCGATGTCTAACAGCTTATGGCCACCCCCCATGTCTTACCAGCCCAGAGCCACAAGACAGGACAGGGACAGGGACCCATCCCCTGCCCCAGCTGAGGGTTCAGAACTGTGGGTGCTGCCCCAGCCATGTCACCAAAAGCTGGGAAGCTCGCAGGGCTGGGGAGGTGGGGAGCGCCCCGACGAGGGAGCCCTGTACCCCACCATCGCCGGTGCTCTCTGCCCACAGGACGGCCACGGTGTGGAAGACGCTGTCCCCATTCTGGGGGGAAGAATATGAGGTGTGCCTCCAGCCCACCTTTCACAGCGTCTCCATCTATGTCATGGATGAGGACGCGCTCAGGTATGGGTGGGCCGGCTGCAGAGCGGTGGGGGCTCGGCGTGGGGACACCGAGGTTGGTGGCTTTGGCTGCCTGCGTGCTCAGCCCCATTGTAGACACTGGAGAATCCACACGAGCCATGCTGGCTTGGGCTTTGGGACACAAATGGGTGAAGTTATTTCCTGAGGTTGCTTTCCAACTGGCAGCAAAGGGTGGCTGCTCTGTGGGGACAGACACACCGTGGTGGCTCCAGCCTAGGACACCCGGGTGCTGTTTCCACCCCCCAAAACACACAGTGGGGGCAGTCCCGCCTAAGGCCTGGTGGAGCGGGTGAGCTCCAATCCCACGATGTGTCCTGCTACTGGTTTTTATTTTCCAGCCGCGATGACGTTATTGGGAAGGTCTGCATCACCCGGGACATGCTGGCGGAGCACCCCAAGGGTAGGGGGACAGGTGGCCGGGAGGGTCCCAGTGGGCACCCATCTCCCACCCCTGTGATGAGCCTGTCCTGAGGGCCCCCAGTGACCCCCCCCCACCATGAGTGTGCCCCCCTTTC